AGTAAGTGCATTGAACAAATCAATGACTGGATGTGTCAGAACTTTCTCCAATTAAACAAAGATAAAACTGAGGTAATGGTTTTTGGAGCCAAGTCAGAACGTATAAAAGTTAGCGCTGAGCTTCAGTCTGCAATGTTCAAAACAACAGATAAAGCCAGAAATCTAGGTGTAGTCATGGACTCTGACCTGAGTTTCAACAGTCACATTAAAACTGTTACTAAATCAGCCTACTATCACCTAAAGAATATATCTAGGATTAAAAGACTAATGTCACAGCAGGATTTGGAAAAACTTGTCCATGCTTTTATCTTCAGTAGACTGGACTACTGCAATGGTGTCTTCACAGGTCTCACTAAAAAATCTATTAGGAAGCTGCAGCTGATTCAGAACGCCGCTGCTCGAGTCCTCACTAACACTAAGAAAGTGGATCACATCACTCCTGTTCTGAAGTCTTTACACTGACTTCCTGTGTGTCAAAGAATAGATTTCAAAATACTGCTGCTGGTTTATAAAGCACTGAATGGTTTAGGCCCAAAATACATTTCTGACCTACTGCTAAATTATGAACCATCCAGATCTCTCAGGTCTTCAGGGACTGGTTAGCTTTCTGTCCCCAGAGTCAGAACTAAACATGGAGAAGCAGCGTTCAGTTATTATGCTCCAAATATCTGGAACAAACTCCCAGAAACCTGCAGGTCCGCTGCAACTCTGACTACTTTTAAATCCAGGCTGAAGACTTTTCTTTTTGTCGCTGCTTTTAATTGAACTATTCATATCTTAGACTGCACTGTAACTTTGATCCATGTACTTTTTTCTTTTAATGTTTAATTGACTGCACTGTAACTTTTATCCATGTATTTTTTCTTTTAATGTTGATTTTATTATCTTTTCTTTTTAATTACTGATTTTAAATGCCATTTTCTTAATGTCTTTCATTTTTTGTAAAGCACTTTGAATTGCCTTGTGTTGAAAAGTGCTATATAAATAAACTTGCCTTGCCTTGCCTTACCTCAATGATTTCCCGCAATTTCTTATTAATGGATTGAAAGCAAAAATATTATTTGGGTTCACCCAATTTGACTCCAAAAGGTGATGGATCATGAGTTTTAGCAAGTGGCAGCACATTTAAATCCGGCAACATTTTAATTAGCTTACAGGGTGCTCGCCCCTAAGCATGTGGTGATAATAACTGAATGTGGACTAGGTTAATTAATCCAAAATCACTCCATTACTTAAATGAGGTTGACCCCATCTCAATCTTGTAACGTCTTTGAAATGCCCTCGGTTAAACTCATTGCTGACAACAAAATTGTCGGGAAAACAGCAACCATAAACTTTCTCTCTGTTTTTTTAAAATGGTCACATTTGTGGGTCGAGGTCAGAAGAAGGAGGACATAAGTAATAACAATAAAAAACTGACTTTTTTATAATACCATTCTCCAGTCACGCCCTGGTCTAGGTTTCAGGGTAACCTCTCTCGGCATAAGTCAAAATTCTGATTAAGCCTGATATTAGTAATTTCTTACCTGATAATGTAAGAATGCTACACATTCTGCCATTACATCGAGAGACTTTTAAAAAGGTTATTACAATATCACCTTTGCGATATGTTTAACTGCCAGTTTATCCCAACAGGTCATCTTTTTTGGACAAAATCAAGAGCTGTTTTATTATATTTTAGATGAACATATTATCTGGTGTTTAATACATCAGTTGCTGGAAATGGATTCAATGCATTTTGTAAAGTTCAAAGATGCCGGTTTAGGATGAAACCGGCATCTGTTTATTTAATTATGTCGCCCTGAACTAATTTCTTATTTTTTCCCTAATCGTAAGTTCACACACCTGCCTCTTTAAACATAGTCACGGTAATGCCATAGAGATGATTACTATGTTATATTAAAAACATTAAAGGAAAATAAATAAGAGAAAATAAAAGAGGGAAAAGGGTAGATGTTAAGAATAGAGACAATGTGGATGAGAGCGTTTCAAACAGAAAACATCCTTCACTCTGACACACACACATCTGATCTTTGTGTTTCCTGTCATCCGGGTCAAAAGAGAAGCGAGCACTTCATGGAAACTAACAAATACTTTCTGATGGCCACAGAAAGAGAGAAAGCGTGCAACGAATGTCAATGTGGGGGATTTTTGAGTGTTTCAGATGAAAATAAAACCCTCAAAGTTGAAAATGTAACCCATTATCCACCTGTCTCTATTAATTTCCTGTACATTCTGTTATAAAGTCCATAATAAGAAGGAGTCAGGACGAATCAAATGTCATCAGTGTATAGTAGGTTCTCGTCTACTTCTGCAGGTCTGAGGTCTGATCAAAGCAAATTTGAAACTCTAATGGGATGGTGCAATGCAGGTGAAGGATCTTTTGATGCATTTCCACTCTTTTTGAAGTCTGGTTGTTAGTTTGTGGGGCTCCAGGTTAATATCCATGTTGGTATTCTGCCTGCATTTTGGATCCTGTGTCGTTATTCTCGGGTCCCTTTCAGATTGAGTCCTTTCTCATTTTTTATTGTAATTCATTTATACTCTCTGGGGGAACCTTTTCCACGGATTAATTTCAGATCCAAATTTCGGACCCATGAGGACATCAACCTTTGAATAAATGTATCCTTAAATAGCCCTCATATGTCTCGAAATATAGATGATAAACCCAGTGACTCCAAAACTCTTGACTGAGACTGATTTAGAAAAGTTGGTACAGATTTCCAGACAAACTTTTAGAAAAACAACAACTCAGATTGAATCTCTGTTATCCTTTAATGCAAGCATGTCCAGAAAGGGAGTGGCTAATTGGGAGTTAGTTTACCGGACTCTCACTAGATTGGTTTAATCCTATCAGGCTAAAGCTCTTTATAAAAGATAGCAAGGCCTTCGAGAACTAGCCTGACTCCCCTTTATATCTATGCAGCATGTACCTTTGCCAAACAGCGGCCTGTCTGCACCCGTTTGACAGGACTGCTGTGATAAACTGGCCGAAAGAAAACTCAGTTGCTTTGAAACAAAATGAACACTTTAATACTGCATTGTGCTTGGAGGCCATACACAGAGCTGGGTTAAAAACAAATGAGATCGTTTGGCTGTCATCCGTTAGCTGCTGTTCTGGCACGAGGGAAAAGTTTTTGTTTACGGGATGAATACAAGAAACAAATAGCGTTCCTCGAGGTCCAACTAATCCTGGCTTTACATAAATTAAAAAGCCGGGGGGGAAATGTATGGACCAGTGAAAAGAGCGCAAACATGCTCCGACTACCAAGTCTACAGACTGCGAGGAGACAAAAAGAGGGCGGTGTGCAGGAGTCAAGGACGAAGCACGTCTGTGGGGTGACGTAGAAAAACAAAGTTCGTACATACAGTACAGATCCAGAATTTTGTCGAAAAATAGTCTTTGAATTAAGAGCTCAAGAAAGGACTCTCCCTCTCCAAACATGGAGACAGTGATAAAGTTCATCCCAGGATTTGGCTGAAGTGTTCATCTTTACTCGACGGAAGAGTCACTTTTCACTCCAGCGAGGACACGAGCTCATCCGTCTCTCCGTTCGCAAACCCTGTCGTCTTCTTCCTGACAGATACGCTCCCAGGCCTGACAAATTGAAAGCTTGCCCCTGAACTAACCTTCACTTTTGGTTTGATTTCATGTTTACATCCTGACATCTTCATGGTAAGACTTACAGTCACCATTTGTTTAATGAAGACTTTCTTAGATAAACTCCCTGAATGTTCTCATATAACTCCGTAACCTCAGAATTTAAATTCAGCAACAGAGAGCTGGGAGGAGACTTTGGGAGTTTGATTTATGCATACAAACTTTTTACATAAAAGGTATGCAAGTGTAATACAGAGAAAAGGCTGAATAAAAGAAAGGATAAGTGTGTATGCATGAGTATGCATACAGATTAGAGATTAGATCCACACAGTTGCCTCTGGAGACATGAATTACAGGTGTGAAAAATGAAGGAGATATTTAAGCAAAGAGACAACAGAGAAAGTTTCAGAAATATGCCGGTAGGTGTGACAGCTTGGACTAACTTTAACACTTTCCTGACACAACTACGACAGAGTAATAATAGTAAATAAATAATTTAATAAATAGAAAATATATATTTGTTACGAGGAGTATGTCAAAACAGACAGGCTAGAGGAAAGGTAGGTCCTAGCAAATAATCCAGTAAAATTAATTGTTAAATAAATATTTGACCACTACTACAGGCAGCAAAGAACGCATAGCAGCCCAGTCAGTGAGCAACGGAACGATTCTATTATTTAACACGATTAGTATTCTGTCACCAAATCTCTGTTAAAATAAATAAGTTTTTGTCTGGTGAGTTGAAATGTTTATTGTTCCCATGCCTGAGTGGTTGATATGTTCAGGATACCTATGATAGCCAACTAAGCCTACTGTTGTCCTACAGTGAATTTGCCTTTATTTATTGAGTCTTTCCTCTCTCTTATGCAACTCATCACACCAATATAATGGTGTAAGTACTGTTTATATAACTGTGCCTGTCTGACGGAGGTTAGTTTGCTACATGGTGAACCGTACAGGGTAGTTTGAGACAGAATAAAGGTCAATACCAATGGTTCCTCAGGGGGGCAGGTTAGTGCGTTACACCGCTATTCATCTCCCAGACAGTCAGGAGTTCCCTGACTGTTGAGAACATTGAGCAGCCTCACTGTCTCCTCGTCCCTCCCCCAGCCAAAGATCTCCATCCCCTCCTCATCATCCTCCCCCTCGTCCTCATTGCTGTCACTGTCGTCCGTATTTGACTCGTACTCCGAGGCGATGCCCGACTCGCGAAACTTCGCGGCAAAGTCCAGGCAGCTCAGAGATTGGATGTCACGGGACAACGTGCCCTTAGACTCCTCTTGGACTTTGCTCTCCGGCCTGTCGGCTTTGAGCAGTGAGGGAGGCGAGGGTAGTTGAGGAGGCGGAGGCCCAGGGAGGAAACGGAAACAATCCAGTTTGAGAAGATACTTGTCCCTACCTAGGGGGCTTCCCAGAGTCCCGTTGGAAGAAGTGAAGGCGTTCCCGTCAGTGGAGCCCAGCCCGGGGAGGTTGAGCATGGACACATCAGGTTTGGGCGTCGTGGCGTCGCACATCACCGGAGGCACCATCGATCGGAAAGTGATCTCCAGCAGACTGTCCTGAGATCCCACTGGAGAGGAGGAGGGAAAAGAAAAAGAAAAGTGAAGAATGAGCAAAGGGAGGTAGAGACAAGGGCTAGACGACGGATACAATATGTTATACTACTGCACCATGATTTAAATTCATCTGCTATTGCCCTTCCTGTTGGATCATGGCGGAAGAATAACATATCTGTAAGTTGTGGCCGATAGCAGCTCCTTGAAAACTCTAACAAAATCAATCATTCAGTGACAAATAAATGCATTGTGTAAAGGGAAAGCAAGCATAAAAAAACATATTTCTAAGCATTTCATCATCACGCAGGCAGCTCACACGCTTTCTTCTTTATGAACACAGACCTGGAGCTTAAAAACTGACAGAAAGATACATTAAGAAATATTGCATCTAACTCCTAGTAAGCATGAAAGATGACTGAAATGTTTGTTGTTTGTTTCTTTGTGGAGGCTGACAGCGGCAGTCAGTTTGGATTCACAGCAGTTACCAGGTCCATAAATATCCATAGAAACTTCTCAAACCTTCTCCTGCTGTATTATGTGCCTCCTCTCTGGTGTGAGACTGAAATGTAAAGTCTGGGAACAGCTGGAGTAAAATCTGTGGCACTGTTTTGTCAGACACACATGGAGCATGAAAGACTACAGTCAGGTTGAAAGAGCGAGTGAGAGAGAAAACTAATTAAAAGATACATTACAAAGTTAGTGGGTGATTCGAAACTGAAAGCAGCTTGGGGGGGGTGTGTTGTTTATGTTTAGGGTACCGGTGAGAGAAGGAAATATGATCCAGAAAGTCAAGCTGGAGTAACAGATTCAAGTGTTTAATGGCTCATCGGACGCACTACCCACAGAATGGATTTTACCACATCTCGGAGCACAAAACATATATTTTTATGGTATTCCTTCAAAGGTTTTCTATTCAAGCAATACACTGGGCTTTAACCATTAGCAAGGGATCCCCACCGTTTCTCATCTTCAGCCAGAATAAGTTTCATGCTGTGAAATTGACCTTTTTTCTCTTGGTGGACATTGTGATTGAAGGAAAGGGAAAGGTGTAACCAATGGTGTAAAGTAACTAAGTACATTTACTCAAGTACTGTACTTAAGTATACTTTTTGAGTACTTTACTTGAGTACATTTAATTTTATGCTACTTTGTACTTCTACTCTAACTCTAACTAAATGTATGTAATACCTTCAGTTACTTTACAGATGTGGATGAATGGTGTGAAATATAATCAACTCTTAAATCAGACTTTAGTTCCACCTGGAGTAAATTCACAATCTACCCTGCAGTATACAAACTCATTAAAACTCGCTGCACCTTTACCAGCTTTGAGAACACTTTAATGATCAATATTAATAATCAAACATTAGATTTATATTATTCTGAAATGGGCCAATCTGCAGAATGAGTACTCTACTTTTGGTACTTAAGTACATTTTGATGCTAATACTTTTGTACTTTTCCTTGAGTAACATTTTGACTGCAGGACTTTTACTTGTAACCGAGTATTCCTACACTCTGGTACTTCTACTTTTACTCAAGTACAATATCTGAGTACTTCTCCCACCTCTGGGTGTAACTAATAATATTAATAAAGGTCAATAAGACATGCTGGTGGGCTAGCATTTACAATCTCACGCTACGGATGAATTGCAGCAATAACTGATGTTAACAGTTATATACTTTTTTTTAAATGAGCAAGGGTTTTATCTTGCATTTCATTACGAAGGTCTTGACATTTCATCGTATATTCTATCGTGTTCATTACAAATGTCCAGCATGCAGAGGTGGCAGTGACTCATATTTTCCCTGGTGGATTTGTGAAATGTTGGCTGGTAAGATAACAGACTGCTTCTTGCGAGGTGGCAATTGGAGGGCAGACTGAACTGCAGAGAAGATTCTCCCTTTCTGAATAGTCAATAAGAAAGGTTTATAAATGTGTGAAGCTGTGGGGAGAGACGGTGAAGACAGATTGGAACAGTGACCAGAACATGTGAGGAGCATAATAAACAGGAGAATAGTAGAACTCAGTAGATTTAATGTTGCATTTTGCACGTAGAAGCCTGTATGTCTGAATCCATATAGTTGCTCTATCATGGTGAAGGTCATGGTTAGTATGGGTGTGTGTGTAGCTGGATGTTTGCTCTTGAAACATGCAAGGATTACACCTGACAGTGGTTCAGTTTGTTGACATAGGCGGTGGTGTAAAATGAAACATTTCTATATTTGTTGTCCTGCCATTACCAATCCAGTCTTCAGTGTGTACGTGCGTGAGTTTTTTAAGTGATATACTTACTGGAGTTTGGTCCGGCCATCTTGGTCTCTATCTCCTGGATCTGTTTAACCAGCAGGGAGATGTGCTGCAGCAGGTCTTTGTTCTGCAGCAGCAGCTGGTGGACCCGGGCCTGGGCCTCCAGCCGAGCTGTGGCCTCCGCACTCAGCTGGTCCTTCAACAGGTGGACCTGGGCAGGAGGGGAGGAAGATAGGGTTAGGGTTAGAGAAGATGCAGTGCAGTGTATACAAACATTTTCCCCAGGCCAACAATTCCTCAAACACAAGCCACTACACTTGAAGTCGCAAAACTTTGTTGACTCTTTGAGCCGGGGAAATCAAGTGTGAGTGCTGTTTGCTTCAAATATTGAATAAAGGGTTATCAATCAATCAATCAATCAATAGGATACGGCTGTAATAGGCCTAAGGCCTTTTAGTCGCTCATAAATAAATGAGTAGATCACTGATTCTTTATTTACTATGGATGCTGGCAACAGTCACATAGTCCAAAGTGAAGGTGATGTTTGACCAGTAGTGGTCGAGGCGGGATTTGAGACAGTTAACCATCTTGGATGTGACAATGCTTTCTGGCAGATCATTCCACAAGTCGACCACACGCAGGCTGAAAAAGTTGCGGCGGATAGCCAGTCTTGAGTACTGTTTCTTCAACTTGAGGCAGTGTCAACGAGTCCTGGTGTTAGGGGTTAGGGTTAGGGGGCAACAGACTGTGATTGGCCACCAAGCTTTAAATACACTTTGAACAGTACAAAGCCATCATTTGGTGTCACAATTGATAGGTGTGTTGGATATCCTAATTGTAAGTTATTATTTGAAGTCTGCTAATTTCCATCAGTTTTAAGGTGCTTAATGATGTGTTGGCTCAATCAATTTGAGGGTTTGTTTCTTAAAGCAAATCGATTGTGATGAAATGTTAGATGATCATTTATTGTGCCAAATCTTTATCATTGGGGCAGTATTTTTCTTCCAGTATGTGAGATTTATCTGTTGCATTTCAGATATGGGAGATTATTAAGAGAAATAAACAATTGCACTATTATTAAATAAAGGTATACAATTTCCATCTCAAAAACCTTTTATTCTATTTCAATAAATATAGCCCTTTATCAGACCTTCACAGATGAACTACACTGATCCAGAGATGAGAGGCTTCAGGATGTGGCTGAGCCAGCCCACCAAATAGCAGTGATTGATCAATAACAGATTTCTTTACACTGTGGTAATTGATCAAAGCAATGCTGAAGAAAAACAGCAATACTTCAGATGTTTCTCCAGTTGTCAAGAGATCAATCAGTGTAAATCTGTGGGGAATATGAGAGGAAAAGCGGAGCAGAGTGTGGGCTGTGATGGAAGTTTGATAATCACTATCTGGACACATTTTTCATGCACATCATTACACCGAAGCAGTGAAAGTCTATTGCTAAGCAGAGGAGTGAAAACATCTACAAATATATCAAAAATGCCAAAGAATTGTGGATGACAGTATTTTTCTACTTTTCTTTGTATTATTTATCACATTTCAAAATTATTTGGATTTTGACTGATGAACCTTGTATGCGTAGGCTCTGGAAATATGTTTACTCAATTGATTAAAAAAATAATCATCTACTTCTCCATGTACACTTGCAAATACACCCACTCAGACGGGCTCCAAAGTATTGAATAAACCCTGCAAAGATTTTTTGATCTTTGTAATTCCATGGCTTTATATCCTTCTATTACATTTTTATTACAGGACAAACAGAGCTCCAGTGACTGCTCTGATCCTCGTGTAACCTCAGTGCCAGTGTGCTGTGGTCTGCAAGATTAAAGCAGAGACTCTATTTCAATTTAAGACAGATAGTCTTAGTCTTCTATAACACTCTGAATCATGTAGAGCAGGGGTGCCCAACCTTTTTTGAACCGAGAGCTACTTTTAAAGTTGCCAGTCTGCCGAGATCTACCAGTCCAAATAGAGAGGCGTAGCCATTACTGATAGCCTACTACCAGGAAAATACACACTTCTACTTGTATAAAACTGACCTTTGTACGATTAATACTCCATAAAAATACTGCAGATCCTTTATCTTACCTCTTTCTAATCTACACACATACAAGTATTTAACTGAAGTTACACAACAGTGTTGTTGATACAGAGTTGGAGTTTATTCACACGTCACACTACAGTGGGTAATGTTTTCAAGAAACATTGAACAGTGCTGCCACATATGACACAGGGAAAAAAGAAAAGACTCTGAACCCTTTCTTTGCCATTAAAATTAGGCTTACTAATAAGACAACTCAGATCTGAAGCTACACAGGAATCTGCTGCCAAAGTGCAATAAAAAAGACACAATTAATAGAATCAAACCCTTTTTTTGTTGCATTTTAGTAGAGTATAAAAAGAAATAACAAGCAACACTAGTTTCTTAACCTGAATTGATAATAGACTATAATCAATTTAAACAGAACATATCTTAATGTTTGCATTCTTATACCAGTTTGTACAATAATTATAATGAATAAGTTCAAACAAATTAAAACTTACAGATGATTAATAACGGTATCTAACTTGAGTTTTGATTATATCAAAAACCTGTTGAAATGCTACTGTTATTTTTACTGTCCCCAAAAAGCGCGTCGCAGCCTCCAGGAAAGCTTCTTTCATAACTTCGCCATCTTTGAAATACTTCATGTGTTTCGCAAGAACGTGACTGACACGATAAGATGCTATGGTAGCAGTCTTGCTCTTGTTGTTGGCCTGGTGAAAATGGACTGCTGTGCTGCATTTAGCTGTCCTTTCAGGTCCCTCCCCTTTTGGGAGCGTATGGCAGAATTAGGAGGGAATTCCGTCTCGTAGCGTTTGTGCACTGTTTTGAAATGCCGCTCCTAAATTACCCTTCTTCGATAAAGCCACGCTCGCATTGCAGATGAGACAGATGGACTTTGAATTGGAATAGATACAAAAATAATCATCCTCCCACTCGGAGTGAAAATTATATATTTTGGGCTTTTTTGCTTCTGCCATAATTGCGGTCTTGTGTGTGTGCGGACTGTCACTCCTGTTGACACGGACAACGTCAGCGAACTACTGCCCACTGCCCGCCACGCCCCCACACATGGGGTCACGCCGGCCAATCACAAAGCTTTGGTGCGTTCAAGTGCATTATTCTGGCACGGGAAGATTATGTTATAGGACATTAACGATAAAACAGAATATTGTTGTTCTATTTTTAGACACATCTCGCGATCGACTGGGAATCTCCCCACGATCGACCGGTCGATCGCGATCGACTGGTTGGGCACCCATGTACCTCTTTGCCCATTACACAGCTGACATTGGAAGTCCAGTTAAATACTTGTATGTGTGTAGATTAGAAAGAGGTAAGATAAAGGATCTGCAGTATTTTTATGGAGTATTAATCGTACAAAGGTCAGTTTTATACAAGTAGAAGTGTGTATTTACCTGGTAGTAGGCTGTCAGTAATGGCTACGCCTCTCTATTTGGACTGGTAGATCTCGGCAGACTGGCAACTTTAAAAGTAGCTCTCGGTTCAAAAAAGGTTGGGCACCCCTAGGGTGTCAAACATGCTTTTATACAATGACACGTGTTTCCTCGAATGGCTTCTTGTCAAAAAAACATTTCCACTCTTTTTGTGTTAAAATGCCCAACTTTACAGCAGAAAAAAACATGTTTCTACCCATGGATGCAATACATATTATTATTAGGGCTGTCAGTCGATTAAAATATTTAATCGCATGATTGTCCATAGTTAATCGCGATTAATCGCAAATTAATCGCACATTTTTTATCTGTTCTAAATGTACCTTAGAGGAATATTTTTCAAGTTTTTAATACTGTTATCAACATATGAGTGGACAAATATGCTTTATGCAAATGTTATTATCATTTGAACAATGACAAATATTCTCATGAATATTAAACACAACAACCTCTGAACATTAAAAATATTCGCCTCAATTCAACCTGGAACCTCTCTCATACAATAATACAATACAAATGGTGTGTGTGTGTGTGTGTGTGTGTGTGTGTGTGTGTGTGTGTGTGTGTGTGTGTGTGTGTGTGTGTGTGATGGATCGTTGGAGCTATGTGCAACTCAAGGCATATGCTCGAACGGGAGCTGCCTGGACGCTGCAATCATGTTGCGCACTATCCGTGCTGAGTGTGCTGACTTTTCGTACAATGTCCCACTGTCTGGCTTCTTGCATAAAGTCAAGTGCTCGGCGCAGTTGTGGCGAAATGTCGCTCCTCTGTTTTCATTTAAACAGCTCCTTCTATCCGTTAGCGCAGCTAGCTAGCACCAGATGCTAACAACAACAATGCACGTAAGGTCTCTCTCTCGCTCGCTCGTGCCACACATACACACACCCTCCCGGTCCTCCCAATAGCCAGTCGGTGCCTGCCGGTGAGCGTGGAAGTGTGGTCTGCCACAAGCGCGCGGCAGGAGCGGGGCTGTCAGCATCAGCTTGTAGAATGTATTTTAAACTCGATGCGCTCTGAAACTACGGGGCGGCCGAGAAAAAAAAATACACATTAAAATAATTAGTGGCGTTAATTTTTTATTAACGCGTTAACTTGACAGCCCTAATTATTATCGATATAGTTAGATTCCACCTTCATGATTATGAATCTGTGAGTGAATTGTTTTCTAACACAACCCTTTTATTTATATTAGGTCTTAAAGTGTTTGCATAAATTAGGGCGTGGTCACTTTGATGGACATGTACATGCCTCACTGTCAGCTAACAGCAACTTGTCCACTCTGCTAGGCTACAACCATAGAGGCTACTACGTTAGTTAGTCATAGTACTGTACTTGACCCTTTAGCTTTAGCCGTGTTCGTGTGTGATTGTGCCTTTTAGGGAATATTGTTACAAATACCAGACAATTAAAATGTTGTGCTGTGCGCTTGAATGTACTAACAGAACTTCCAAGAAGTCTAAAATGATAATAGTATACATGTTAACCCCATTCGCAGGTGTTTGTGTGCTTGGTAGCTTAGCTTGTTACTTATTAGCCAGCTAAGGACGTAACCCTTGCATACATATACATTTTAGTTTATGATTCAGCCTTGGGCAGGGTTGCCAACTTTGGGTACCTGGCTGGAGTGAGATGTTGATATCATGGGTTTAATTACACATATGCGCACTAAATGACTGCTATCGTGTCAGT